TTTGAAATCGCTCAATCCCCAGAGAGAGCAACTCTATAGCGGACGCTGGCAAAGATAGCCTCCTCGCTGGATTCAGAGGCTCCAGACAATATTCCTGTTCGTTTCGTCAGTGCTCCAATAATCAGCTCGACCGAACAGCCGTAAATGTGGCTCAACCGGATTCCTGGATGACTCCATTACCCAGTACTCAAGGATGGGACCTTGCCAAGCGACAAGGTCGAGGCAAGGGTTGCGCGTAAGATCTTCTCGTTTACACTCATAGGGGACCAGCTGTATGAAGAGGTTTAGTGCCCCTCTCCTCCGATGTGTAACCAGTGAAGAAGCAGACTACATCATGAGGGAAATCCATGAAGGAATCTGCGGTAACCACACAGCTGCTCGATCTCTTGCGAACAAGGTTGTTCGTCAGGGATATTATTGGCCTCGGATCCAGGAAGATAGCACAAACTTCGTTAAAAAATGTGATAAGTGCTAGCGGTTCGCGAACATTCCGCGAGCCCCTCGCACGAGCTGACAACAATGTCTAGCCCCTGGCCATTTTCCATGTGGGGGATCGACCTTATCGGTCCCATGCCGGTTGGAAAGGGAGGGGTCAAGTATGCCGTGGTCGCGGTCGACTATTTCACAAATGGGTGGAAGCCGAACCTCTGCCGCGATCACGACCAAAAAGCTTAAAGACTTCGTTTTCAAGAACATAGTGTGCCGCTACGGATTCCCACACCCCCATCTCGGACAATGGAAAGCAGTTCGAACGAGGAGTTCAAACAGTTCTGTGATGAGCTGGGCATCCATAAAAAATTCGCCTTAGTCGCCAGACCACAAGCAAATGGCCAAGTTGAAGCAGTCAACAAGACCATCAAGCCCACTCTAAAGGCCAAACTTGGGGCAGCAAGGGATTGGCTGACGACCTCCCGAAGTTTATGGGCGTACAGGACAACTCCAAGAACTTCCACCTCAGAGACCCCTTTTTCGCTAGCATATGGCTGCGAAGCGATGATTCCTGTGGAGGTGGGAACTGGTCACTCGGAGAGACTTGTACGAGAGGTTGAAAACGAAGCACTTATGAGGGCAAGTTTGGACCTCGTGAAGAGCACGCAGCAAGGCTTCGCTAAGGATAGCAACCTACCAGCAGCGAGCTAAGAGGTTTTTTGATTCAAAGGTCAAGCGAAGAGACTTCCAGGTCGGTGACCTTGTGTTGAAGGAAGTTCTCCTCGGAACCAGGGAACCAAGTGCAGGGGTATTAAGACCTAACTGGGAAGGTCCATATGGGTCGATAAGGTGATCAGACCGGGGACTTACCATCTCAAAAGGCTGAATGGTTCCAAAGTACCCGAGCTTGGAATGCTGAGACCTTCGACCATACTATCATAATCCCGAACTCAATCCTTGTTAAGTTAGTTCGATTTTGTTCTGCAATTGTAAAGTATTATCCTGTTCGCTTAATGGTTCAAGTTTATCCTGTTCGCTTAATGGTTCAAGTTTATCCTGTTCGCTGTAATTCATGAATAACATTGCCTATGTAATTGAACTAAAATTGCAAACAGCACGCATGTATGAAAAGCGAATTGTAATTAAAAACAAAATGTATTTTCATTGATGTACAAGTAAAAATTAGACCCTTTTCAATGGAGCCAAAGCTCGTTACATACGGCTGGTCGGAGGGATCCTTCGAAGCAGCGCCCGAACCCTCTGTCTGGTCGGACCCCTGGCGGCTGCTGCTGCTGCTTCGTCGTCTTCCTCTGCCAAGAGCCGCAAAGCTCTTGCCAACCCGGGGAGGACGGACACCTCGAGATTGGGTTCTTTGATCGCAGCGTGTAAATAGCCCCGATGCCCAGTCGGCGGCCTTTTCCTCCATCTCTCTGACTGAATCCGCATTTCCTCAGTCAGTGAAGCGACCTTTTCTCGACTCTCCTGGAGTTCGGCCTCAAGAGCTCGTTCTCCTGTTCGGAGGCTCTTTCCTGGTCAGCCTTCTGAGCCCATATGGAGGTCGTCTGGATCTCCTGGTCCTTCTCCCCGACCTCCTGGAGAGCCTGGGGTATCCTTTGAAGCTCCTTACTTCCTCGCACGTCGCTCGAGCTCCGCCTTCTGGAAGTCTACAGTTCGCAAAGCGGCATCCTTTTGGACCAGGTACCTGTTCGCCGCATCGAATGCCTTGTTCTTTCAGCTTCGGCGGACTCCAGGCTTTCTTAAGCTTCGCGATCTCCTCTTACTCACTGGACTCCTTCGCGGCCCCAGCGGGTCTTCTCCTAGAACTCCTCATCGCAAGCAAAGCTGCGAGCAAGAAAGTGATTAGAAAGAAACCAGGATGAAGTTTTAAGAGCAGCTCGCTTACCCTGCTTAGATGCTGCTCGCTTACCTTGCTTAGATGCTGGAACGACGTGGTCATCAGGGTCGTCGCCGTGTCAGCGAACTCATCATTGATTCTGATAGTCCACACTCAAGCAGAGAATAGAATACCGGTTGATACTCGGGCAGGCTCCCCAGTGAGTCGAGCACTGGTGCGTCCTGCGATCGCCCGCCCACGGGCTCCTGCCCGACCTCCTTGAGTCCTGTCGCGACCTAAGGGCTCCTCCTCAGATTCAGTTTCAGATCGTCGACCTGAACCTGTTCCTCTCTTCGACTTTTGAGCCGGAGCCTTTCGCTTTGGGCGAGTCGGTGGTGCCTGAGCGACCTGCTCCGCCCTGGTCGTTCCTTGCACGAGTTGGGGGCGTAAGGGCGCGACAGTTCGCGTCGGTGTGCGGGGATAGGAAGAGCAGCTTCGGTCGCCTCCCATCCTCGATCGAGGGAAGACGAACGGTGTGCGGGAGACTGCCGGACTCCTTCGGAGGCATAACTTTGCAGAAAGTGCGGTAGTAAACAAAACATTCGGCGACCAGAAAGAACTAATATAGTTACCTTCTTCAAGGGGTTCTAAAGACGCGTTGCTATGATAAAACCGTACTTCCGCAGGTTCGCGGTAGTCACTAGCTTCCGCGTCTCGGCTTTCCTCGGGCAGCACTCCAAAAGTACAAGTCTGTCCGGGTCATCGAGCAAGTCTTGGCTGTCGTTCTATTGAACTGCAAAGAAAGAAACAGGTCGTTATCTAAAGCATGCGAACATATAATATACCTAACGAAGAGAACCTACTTGGCGTCTGAAGTGGCAGTAGCCATCATAGTAGAAAAAGAAGAATTTGGTCTCGGTAGGGCTCCCGCGTTGCTGGGATAGCTCTGTATCCCTCGGCAATGGTAGGTCACCGGGACAAGTAATACGAATCCTGTCCACTCTTTTGAGATAATAGGCGACGCCGAGCTCCACCGCCGTGGCTGCCAAGCCGCTCTCGCAGCATGCGATGTACCGCGACGGTGATGACTCGCGTTCGTGTGAGCTGCATCGGTGCGATCCAAAGTGATCCAGGACCGACCTGATGAAAGGATGGAAGGGAATCATCCCTCCACCCTTGAAGATCTCTTAGGAGATCGCAGCAAGACCGTCGGCAGGATGTCGCGACGACCTGGTGTGGTCGAGGAACACCTCAGCTCGGACGTATACTGTCTTTTACATATCAAATTCTTCTCGGGTGAGACCGAGAAGACTTCAAGGGACGCGTCCGCGGGAACTTCCCGCGTGGACGAGTGGTTCCTCTCGGGTCTGGAATTGACGGATCCATTCGAGTTGCCAACATCGACAGACACGGTCCTTTAGGCCTTGTGTTTTGTCTCGTGCGGCGGCAGGGGATAATTCCCAAAACCCTAATAGTAATTGAGCCGCCACCCACGGCTCGAGTCCGACAATAGTGGCGCGTCTCTGGTGGAAACACGAGAGACTCAATGCCGTTGCCCACCAACACAAACCTGGAAAAAAGAGAGGAAGAAGAATTTACCTTTGGGATGAGTAACGAGCCGAAAATCGTTTTAGTAGCTGAGAAGCGCCGATTGGAAAGAATGGTTTCTGGTTGCAAAGGCTTGTCACTTGAAGCAAAAGGGATTTCGTGACCTCATCTGAAAATGTGAGTTCTTATATGGGCAAAGAACCGATGGTTGCAGCCCGTCGAACGAAGCGACAGCCTTCTCTCTCTCCGCATTTAATGCTCCCCACGTCGCATAATGCCATAATAAGGGCTGACGTTTCCAAATGCGTTGAGCGTCAAAAGTGCCAATACGACGTCGAGTCAGCACACCACACATTTAATACACCAGACACATTACAGCGCGAGAGTGCCCGATAGCGCGGATGCAGGTTCATTGAATCTCTCACAGCATAGAAAGGAACGCCCGACGAATCCAGGTCGTTAAAATGACGATTCTCGGTCGCTTGGCAAGAATTGTGCGAGGTCGTGTTCGCCGAAGGTCATGCCGAGCTTCTTCTATTCAGGTCGGAACAACAAAACCTCCAACCGCGGCATGACTTAGTTTCCAAGGTTCGACCCTCAAACCTTACAAACTAGGGGGCTTCTGTTATGACTAAGAAATCAAAGGCTGACATGGAGTTGCGTAACGAAACGTGGCCTGCTCCCGTCAGAACGGTAAGCGCACGTCAGGCCTGCCAAACGCCCTGGTGCTCCCACGTGTCCGCTAGCCTGCTCTAAATCGCGTGAAATCGGCTTGGAAAATGGGTAGTGGGACGTAAAATCAGATTAGGTCCTGACAATCACACCAACCCAAGGATTTAGTGATGATTACGGACATAAAACTGGGTATAAGAAGAGGAAGACCCCTTCATTAAGGGGATTCGACAATTTTTACAAAAAAACTCTCTCTCTCTCTCGCTTTTGTATCTATTTCCCAACCTTTTGTAAGTCAGTCCGCTGTCGCGACCTAACCCACACTATCAATATCAATACAAATCAGTGGACGTAGGACTTGCTATCTGAGCATCCGAACCACTTTAAAAACTCTCATAGCATTTATTTCGCTTTTTATATTCACTTTCACGTGTGCTTTTTGATCAATCAATGCTGCACACGTATCAGTTAGTTGGTGCCCAAAATCAAGCATTAACAGTATGCATGCACCCTTACCATAGAAGAAGTATTATTTTGCACCATCTTCCTTACCATGGTAGAAATATTTGTTGCAAAATAATTTCCTGTATCAGGAACCAAGCTGTCATCTGATTGTAACCCAGATTCCACCTGAAATAAGAATTATAGAGAAACAAGAATTAATTGTGTGAACAGAAGATATCTATTTGTAAGACTCATTGCCCAAACAGTGAGTTGACGATTGCTAAGATTCTACCTGAAGCAAGAATCATAGATAAACAAGTATTAGATCTTGATACTTTCCTCCTGCATTATGTATTTACTTGATCTTTGAAAAGTTTCCCGAGATGCATGCTCTATCTCACCTCTGTAGAAGTTTTCTCAGCATATGTTTCAGCATCAGAAGCCAACCGGGGACTCGGTTGATCATCAACGGGAGTTGAAGTATTACGCTTGCCCCTTGGATTTTTTTTCTACGTAGCGAAAAACAAAATCCTTCTGCAAAAACAAATGATAGAAGTGAATGCTTTGGTATCAAATATTTGGGCCTCACGAGGTTTAATACCGAAATAAACACATCATGGCCAATGCCTTAGTCCAATTTTGGTAAGACTCACGTTTAAATCTTCCTTGTGAACTAACTATATCCTACAAATTAAGTTAATTGGGCTTCAGCCCATTAGTCTACGATAATCTATAAATAGAAACTAGAATCCTATTTGCCTTCTAATTCAGTCAAGATCCTGAATCTTACTATAATTGGAAGATACTAATTGATAAAAGCAAGTCTCAAGACTTCTTTCCTAATTGGAACTAGGACGGTAAACGAGCCAAGCCGAACCGAGCTTTTGGCTTATCGAGCCTGGCGAGCCTCAGAATTGAGACTCGAACTTGAGCTCGGTCGAGCTTGAGCTTTTAGGCTCGTGAGCTCGATATCCTTACCGCCAATCACCGACACCATAACCAGAACAGGGAATCCAAAACCTTTAGCGACCGGACGGGGAGATGACGTGAGCGAGCTAGAAGCACCTTCGGCATCGAATCTCCGATAGGAAAAGCTACTGCCACTACAACTCTCGGACTCGCTGACGTCAGCACTGAGAGAGTAGCTCTCGCACCTCTCGCTCTGCTGATCAGAGGCTTCGTCATCGGAGGTCATGCTCCCCATTGCGTTCGGCGATTACTGATCAAGATCGGACGGTTGAGACCAAAAAGTAAAGAGCGAGAAAAAAAAGCAAAAGGAAAGAGAAGAGAGACTGTGTTTCAGCTCGTTCATTGGTTCCTTCACATTATAGTACCTTTTTTTTGGGTTTTTTCTTACCTTTTTTTTGGGTTTTTTCTTTATTTTATATCAACTGTAGTGTGGTTAGTGGTGTGGTGTGGTGTGGTGTGGGAAACTGTCATTTTTTTAAATTTTTTTCACCGAAAAATATCAGTATAATACTTAATGGTTTAAAAAATACCAAAGCACCCAGCGTAAGTATACAGAATTTACGCGAGCCAGACTAAGCTCGCGAGCCCACGAGCCGAGCTTCACTGTGTTCGAACTCGACTTGGTTAACAAACTAAGTTCGAGTCGAGTCGACTTGATAATAACCGAGCCCAGCTCCAAACGAGCTCTAACCAAGTTGAGCCGAGCTGACTCGTTTACAGTCCTAATTGGAACTCCTCTACCAAATAGGACTCGGAGTCATATTAAGATTCCAACCTTCTTAGTTCTCCATATAAATAGGGGCAAACCCTTTCATTATTCATTCAGAAACCATCTATAGCTTTAGCTCCTAAATTATTGCTACCAAGAATCACCGTTTTCCCTGCCGTAAAACTTAGCTCCGACTACCTTTACCACCTTCAGCCACAGCAAAAGCTGTTACAGCTAGCTTTGTATTAGTCTAGCCTTAGTTGGCCACATTATTACGGTAAACACTTTCCTCTCTCATCCCTCATTAAATACTTTCAACCTCGTTAATTTAAGTGTCGGAGTGCCTACGACATATACCACATCGGTGTCACCCAAGACTTTATGTTTCCTTTATTCTCTTTATGTAGGTCCATTAGATCTGGTTCGCTTTTCACAAAATTTGTCTCTTCTGAGTCAACCGTAGATTTTACGTCAACTCCAAAAAAAGGAGAAATGAAAACAGAAAGCAATACACCTTATAACGAGAGTCGTCATCATCGACATAGTACTCGTGCATAACCCAGTCAGTCTTGATCTTCTGCTTAGGAGAAGCACCACGTTTGTAGTAAACATAGTTCTTTTTGCCACCAATCCGCTTGCCAGTACTTTTATCCCTGACTTCACTATCGTTACCTGTTTTTTCTCAGTTACCTCTTCCGTTTGTTAGGTGGGCTTGTTTACCCTTCACGTTCTTATATGTTTCAGAGAAAAAGGGCCACGCTTGTTCATCGGAGTTAATTTTTGAAAGTCCTGGCATCAAAATTAAATTCACATAAAAAAACTGATTGTGATATCTGACCAACTGATTATTGATAGCTTGAATCCACTTACCTGGCAACTCAGATGGATCGAGCTTGAAGATATCAAGCTCATTAATCTGGTCAAGTACAGAAAATTCAGGGTGAAGCCTCTTCTTCTTGAGCAGACGGATGATCTCTATTGGCAGCTTACGGTCCAAGAATGCTACCAGAGAGGCCATAGATATCAGAAACAGTGAAGACAAGAGAGCTAGCTATCTCTGGTCTCCGATGGGGAAGACTTTACGTTTTGACTACACGCTAAGCTTCTTATGTACACAAAATCGGTACTACCTTCAAGTGTGAATGTTTGAAAATTAACACTATAGTCCAAAATCTGTTTTTCTGGGTTCGAATCACCTTAGAGCCAGCCACCACATTTGTGAATTATCTTGGAACATTAGGATTCCAATTCTACTGGTCCTAAATATAATGATATTAGATTATGAATGCATCATTTAAATTCTTTAACAATTTCTTGAGCTAAAAAATTTCCTAAAAATTTTTGACAAGTTAATAAGTGCTTTCTTTATTGGAAATCACAGCACAAAACAGGTTGCTTCTTTTGTACATACTGGAGGGCCTAAAATCGCTTGAGAATTTCCTTTGTGATGCTCAAAACAAGTGTTGCTGGGTTCCGGAAACTTGTCTTTAAAAGGTGGAGAAACTCTACTTCAAACCACTCAATCAAGCAACAAAATTGAGATATAAAGGCAAAGAATAAAGAGCCTCAATTTATTTTCAAGTAAAAAAAATGAATTCATTCATTGATAAACATCCCTTTAATCTGTAAAGAGACAGCTACACTTCTGAAGTAAAGAAAGAATAATCAAAGCACACTCAACAAAGATACACTTTTGGTTCTCTCCCTAATACAAGAAAACAAAAAGGAGTTTTTTTTTTTTTTTTTTTTTTTTTAACAATCAAACTTCACACTCCTTCAATTCTTGCACTTGGAGGCTTGTACAATTTCTCAACCATCTTCCTATATTCTGCAAAATTCACAGCAAGAAAATTAATCAGACAAACTTCAACAAATGGGTTTAATATTTCGTGTACCGTCCTGTAGGATGAATCAACATTAAACGCTCAGAATAAACAAGAAAGTGACCAACATAAGTAGTTTCATCGATCTATGCATACCTTCTTGATTGCACCATAGCTGAGCTGCTTGACTGTTTAGAGGAGAGCTGATGTTTGGTTCTGAAGATAACGTAAAAAAAGTAGAAACCATAAGAATAATTCACAAAACAAGATGTCAGAATCACCCAAATTCAGAAAAGATTATTTGCATACCTCCAAGCAAGCTCTGGATAGATATCAGAATTGTTCTCACATCATAAGCAGATGACCATTTATCCTGTAAATTTTAAACCAAACGAAACCGGGTTCAGATGATATGAAAACCATATAGAGATAAATGCATTTAGAGGATACAACTTGTGCAGAATGAGGAAGGTTACCTGGAGAATGTCCAAGCAAATATTGCCATAGACATCAACATTGGGATGGAAGCAACCGGTTTCAAACTTCACCTTGGGAGGCTTGAATGGATAATCGTTTGGGAAATAAAGGGATAGCTTGTACTCTGTGCCTTCAAAAACTGTGTCTTTGCTTCCATGGATTGTACCTTTCCAGGAGAATATGTTGTCCTCTTCAGGGAATGCAGATATCCCAGAATCTCCACTCATCTGAAATTATATTGAATTCACTTATAGGAAACTTCGAACTTTAATCCTTTAAGCCTTGAAATATGATCATTACTCTTGGTGAAAACAGTAACTTTCCTCTTCTTGGTTATAAATTTTCTCAGAAAGCAAACAGAAATTTAGGTAAAATAACAAGAAAATAGATCACAGATTCGGGCATAAATTCACTTGTAAGCAACTTAAAATTTTAATACAGTTGTTTTTCTTAGCGAAAACGCTAACTTTCCGTTTCTGGGTTCTTAATTTTCTTCCCATCCAAACAGAAAATTAGGAAGTAAAAAGAAAAAGAACATTATAGATCAGTCTCTTACCATTAAGGCCATCAGTTCAGACTGCAATCTGTTCAATCAAACATAAAAGAAAAAGAACAGTTAGAAAATCCCAAAAATCCTAAAAAACTTCTAGAAATAAGCAATCAAATCAACTTAAAAACCCAATTCAAGAACTCAAAGATTCACCTTTGAAAAGGAAGTAAAAAAGAAAAAGAAAGCCCCATAAATCAAGAAAAAATAAACCGACAGAGATTAAACAAAACACCTCACAAACCCACATTAAATTCACAAAAACAAACACTAAAAAATTAAAAAAAAAATAATGTAATAAATAAAACATTACCTTTTAAGCACAGATTGACTATCAACGGTCTTGACCGGATTAACAGATTGCTTAGTAGCCGTTGTGGTGGTCGGAGAGGCCACTGGAGTGTTGCTTTGGTACCCATTAACAGTAGCCATAACTTCGTTTTCTTTCTTCTTTTGTTTGATCAATTCTTTATCCAAACAGCAAAATCTAAAGAACCCAGAAAAACAACAAGAGAAAGCTTTGAACTATTCTTTCAGAGAGGGGAAAAAACGAGAAGAAGAAGAAGTGGAGTTTTTTTACTTCTTCTCTTCTTCGTCTGAGGGGAGCGTTTTAGAGAGAGAGAGAGAGAGGAGTGAGGAGCGGAGGCTTGTGGGTTTGGTTTAAAACAATGAGGGAGAGGCTAAACGCCGTCGTTTTTGTGGAGTTTTTTAAAATAATATGAACGTTGCGAGGGCGGCGTAGATTCGTGCTTTCTTTGGGTAATGCAACGGCTAGTTTTCATGGGTGTTTACGTTGCCTGCCTTTCGCTAACATGCGCACCTTGCTTTCTTAGAGTTTGGTACTTAAAAAGAGCGCCTTTGCCACATAGGATGGAATTTTAAAATATTATTAACTGGAAAAATGGTTATTTTATTGGTTCGCAATCTGATTTGAGATCTTATTTTTAAGATAAGATCGTATGAGTTAATGAATTAATTTTCATGAGGTAGGATAAAATAAAAATAAAATCTATTAAAGTATTGGAAATAATAAAAACTCTCATGCCGTCAAATTTTAAATATTAAAATAAACGGATAATTTAGTAATATATACTAATAACTACTAATAATTCATTAATGACAATTTTTTTTTTTTTGTTATAGTATCTAGAGAAGTTTATGTCTTTAGCTCTTAAAATAATACTAAAAATGGGTTGAATTATTGATGTGATATAACCTTTTGATCGGTAATCTATTTTACAGCTTAATTAGACTCGAGTTTATATCGTAATTAATCTTTTATTATTAGTTTGAATAAGTAAGTGTGATACATGCCTAGTTAATAAGTACGGGTACGGCAAAAAAATGATACAAGAATTTTACGGGTATAATACGGTAAACAATAAAAAATACGTTTATAAAAATTCGGTCAGATACAGGAAAAATACGATACAGGTATATACGGGTTTAATACGGTCAATTGTCGATAATATGTTTTGAAAAATACGACAATATCAATTTTAGTTTTAACACTTTTATGGATTACCTAGTTAAAATCAATATAGCATTTCAAATGCAAAGTATTCAATTAACTAATAATACAAATATACAATATATAACTAATATTCAAATTATAGTCTCCAGACTCAAACACAATATTTAACCATTATTCTTTACTAATTTGAAACTTGATAAGTTTGATATTAAATGCAACCAATTTTAACTTCCCATTAATCCATTAAATTATATTAAATCGAGGATGAAAATATAAAAGATTAGTATTAATGCAACCTGAAATATAAGATTAATCAATAAATAAAATAATTTCATAAAATGATTTTTCTGGATAAAACGCCACCGCTTATTCTTCATCAGCAGTCCAGCACCCACCGACTCAGTCTCACTGTCTCACACCACACAGCTGCCGCAAGGCAGCAAACCGTCATCAGCCCTTCCCGCTTCCGCAAAGCCCAACCACCTCATGGACCCTCACCCCTTCCTTCCCAGCGCCTCCACCTTCCAGCGAATCCACAGTGGCCACCCAACCTACCTTCCTTTCCAAAATAACACTTTAAACTAAAATCACCAGCCACCGAAATCAGAATCAACAAATGAAAAAAAGTATGAAAGAAATCCTGAAATTCAATAGTGAGGATGAAAATCACTGGGGGTTGTTCTCGGTGAGGGGCTACGCTGGAAGTGGGGACGCGTGAGATGGGTGTTAATTCGTGAATAATCTCTTCCCTTACGATTTCTTCTTCCCCCACCAAAACGACGTCGTTTCAATCAATTTTTTTTTGCTTTTGCAATAATTCGCGAATTATACGCGAATTATACGGATGCTCCAATAATTCGCGAATAATTAAGTAGTCATTTAAAAAGTGCATAAATACGTGTTTTATATGCTAATTATACGGTTGGTCGTATAATTCACGTATAAAACGCGTATTTACTAACTATAACATGAAAATAATTTATTTTTGAAGTAAGAAATTAAGCTTATGTAATATATGCTAAAGGAATATAGGTTTAATAATCCAGGCTATAATGACAAATCCATCTTGAGTTGATTAAAAAATTCTTAAGTAAAATGAAAATGTTATATTAATTTCAATTAATGAATATATATTTATTGATATGTTTAGCATCTTATTATTATTCATTAATATATTACTATAGTTGTAAAATGCTAAATACATTATTTATTATTATTATTATTATTATTATTATTATTATATATTGTAATCGTTTAAAACACTTAATTATGTTGAAATTCGGGAAGGTATTTCAATAATCTTTTTTAAATACAATGACATAATTATATTTCACATAGAAGATGTTAATGGAACGGGTTGAGTTGGATACTAAGGGCTGTTTGGTATACTTTTTTTTTTTTTTTTTAAAATAATATTATATTCTGAAAGGAATAATATGAAATTTAATCAAATATGATAAGATTTTGAGAATATGTTTTAAGGGTATGCAAAAAAAAAAAAAAAAAATAGCAGTTAACCGAACCAATACGCAAACCGAACTTGATTTTTCAAGTACTCGAAAATTTGAGTAAGTTTCGGGTAGTTATTATGCGATACCCTAATTTTTGATTCGGATATCAGTATATATTTTAAGGAACCAGGTACTTGAAACCCGTTTCATTAAAAAAAAATAAATAAATAAAAAACTAGGTTTTTTTTATTAAAACTCATTTTCCTTTAATTCCTTTCAACTTTCAAGAGTAGGATGGGCACAAAGCCCAGCACCGCAGGGACCCGCACCGCCTCGGCCCGAACGAGGAGGATTTTTCTCGAAACGTTCGTGCTTTGGGTGGGATCGAGCCAAATTAGCCCCGAATTCGGGACGGGATCGGTCTTGCCTGGTTCGGCCCTTTATATTTATATATATTTAATTTTAATAATTAAAAATCAATCATATATACCTATATTAATTTTAATATTTGAAAATCAATCATATATACCTATAATAATTTTAATATATGAAATCAATTATACTTATACAATGACAAATTAATTATGTAAGTATTTTATGAAACTATTACAAATAGATAATAAATAAAACTAGATTAAATATAAAATATATATATCATTATAAATATTTGTAATATATATTTGTTAATGCTATGAAACAAAAGTTATACATTCGACGTTATATATTATACACTATATATTATACATGATATTATACATTGATATTATATATGGTATATACTACATAAGTATAATATATATAACATTATATATTGTACATTAAATTTATCTAATATGTTATTATCTATAATCTTACGTTATACATAATATATATATATAATATTTATTTGTTGTTTTGTGATTGATTATGTCATAAATCATTATAATTTTTTTTTTGCCCTCGTTGAATCATTATTTCAATTTTATTACCTAATTGCCTTGTTATATTGTGATAACTATTTTATAATTTATTATATATATGGTAGTTTATTTATTTAATTTATTATAATATATATGTATAATATATAATATTTACTACTTATATAGTAAAGAGATATTATATATGTTAATACTTATTACTTAATACAATAACATAATATTATAATGTTAATATGTATTTGTGTGTATAGTATATATATTATTATATATATATATATATATATAAAATAATCCGAATATATATATATATATATATAATGTATTATAATTATCATTTTGATATTTGGATTCATTATAATTATTAATCAGGGGTGGATCCAACACTTGTTGAGGGTGGGCATTTTAACAAAAAAATACTAATATGTATAATTGTGGGATGAGTTTTTTTGGCAGCTCATGTTTTCAATCTTGATACTGTCATGTTTTGAATCTTTTGATTATAGATTTGTCATATTATAATATATTATTAATTTAATATGATAGTTTTTATATTTAATATGTACATTATAGATTTAATTTTTTTTTGATGATATGGTCTTTATGTTTAATATATATATTATATATTTAATTTTTTTTTTTTTTGGTTGGTATATATAATTTGGAGAAAAGGATAATAAAACTAAAAAAGATACAAAAAGACAGAAAACCCCCAAACAGGGAATTCGGGGAATCTCGTTTGGGGAACGGGCTTTTTCGGGGATTCCCTGAATGGGCTTCGGGTCGGGATCGGGAATCCCCTTGGGCATTCGGGCTGGGGCCGGAGACAAGGGTCCCCGGCCCGTGCCCATCCGTATTCAAGAGGCGAAAGCCCCTAATTGTATTTGCTCTAAAAGCTAACCCAGTAACCTGCACATTTCTCTCCAATTCTCCACTCCAATTGCAATTTGCATCTTCTTGATTTCATCTTTGTCCATCACGTTAGACATCTTCTTGGCTTCTTCATTTTTGAGTTCTCCCTCTCACTTTTGTCCATCACGGCAGACATCTTCTTCACTTCTTGGCTTCTTCATTCGTCAGTCTTTTGATTCAAGTTTTGGTTTTATTCATTACTATTCTTATGTAGTTTTAAGTTTCTAGCTATGACGTAAAGATTTGAGTCGGTCTTTATATATATATTTTGGGTTCGATTGATTAAATCTGGAGAGGATTTTTGTTTATTTTTTAATTTTGTGGTAGTTGTTTAGTTGATCTTTAATAGTGTTGAATTTTGAGATCTTGTTTATTGATTTATGTTGGCTTATTTAATATTTGATTTTTCCTCTTCTATATACAAGTTTCATGATTTTGGTTTTACTTTTAATTATAATAAGTTGTGTAGAATGTAGATGTCAAGAAGAGAATTAATTTTTAGCAAAACGGTTAATCAACTTTTCCATCCAAGTCAGATTTGAAATCTTAAGCATTTAAGGTATTAAATTAAAAGTTGATGTAGTATATAGAAGGAATTGTATCTACAAATTGCAATCTAAAAAATAAAAATTCAAGAAAGGTTATGCAAATTTGGGTCATAAATTGGGTAAGCAAAAACCGACCCGAATATTCGAGTACTCGGAAAACCGGGGTCTTAAAAAGCGGTTCGGTTATTGAGTACCCTTGGAGGGGTACCTGGTTTTTCGGGCAAAACCAGTTCGGGTACCTGAAAAATCGAGTTTGAAAACAGACAGATCGACTAGATTTGATCGATTGTGTGTCGTTCTAATGTCGACAGCTGATGGTGGCAACGATGATGACTAGCGGTAGTTACTGGCGAGTGATTGTTGCTTGAGTTGGTAGAGCTATTTTTGTTAATTTATAAATTTTTATTGAAAAAAATAATTGTTAAATGTTTTGAATAGAATATAATAATATTGAATTTTGAATTGATTAATCAATATTAAAACAAACACATTTTTCACTTTTTTGGATTAAAGTTTGAAAAGTTAAACAAACAGGAGGCAAGATATTCGTGCCTATGCTCATGTCTACCTTTTTAATGAATATCCAAATCCACTCTAAAAAATGGGTTGAATTATTGGTGTGATATAACCTTTTGATCGGTAATCTATATTACAACTTAATTAGACTCGAGCTTATGTCCTAATTAATCTTTTATTATTAGTTTGAATAAGTAAGTGTGATACATGAGAATAATTTATTTTTGAAGTAAGAAATTAAACTTATGTAATATATGCTAAAGGAATATAGGTTTAATAATCCAGGCTACAATGACAAATCCATCTTGAGTTGATTAAAAAATTCTTAAGTAAAATGAAAATATTATATTAATTTCAATTAAAGAATAGATATTTATTGATATATTTAGCATTTTATTATTATTCATTAATATATTACTATAGTTGTAAAATGCTAAATACATTTATTATTATTATTATTATATATTGTGATCGGTTAAAGCACTTAATTACGTTGAAATTCGGGACAGGTCTTTCAATAATCTTTTAAATACAATGACATAATATATTTCACGTAGAGATGTCAATGGATCGGGTTGAGTTGGATACTAAGGCCTGGTTGGTAATATATAATATTATATATATATATATATATATATATATATATATATATAATATTATTAATAATATTCTATTTTGAATATGTATAATAAGATTTAATCAAATATGATAAAAATTTGAGAATATGTTTTAGGGGTATGCAAACAAAAACCGTTAACCATAAGAAACACAATAATTGAACTCGATTTTTTGGGTACCCGAAAATTCAGGTCGGTTTTGGATAATTATTATGCGATACCTAAATTTTTGGTTCAGGTATCGAGTATATATTTTAAGAGAACTGAATACCCGAAACCTGGTTTCATTAAAAAAATAAAAAAATAACCCGGTTTTTTTTTTTTTTTTTTTAAAAACTCATTTTTCTTTTAACTCCTTTGAACTTTCAAGAGGCAAAGCCCCAAATTGTATTTGCTCTAAAAGTCTAACCCAGTAACCCGCACATTTCTCTCCAATTCTCCGCTCCAATTGCAATTTGCATCTTCTTGATTTCATCTTCAAATCTTCCTCTCACTTTTGTCCATCACGTCAGACATCTTCTTCACTTCTTGGCTTCTTCATTTGTCAGTCTTTGATTCAAGTTTTGGTTTTGTTCATTACTATTCTTATGTTGTTTTAAGTTTTTAGTTATGATGTAAAGATTTGAGTTAGTGCTTTTTTTTTTTATTTTATATATATATATTTTGGGTTCGGTTGATTAAACTCGGAGAGGATTTTTGTTTATTTTCTAATTTTGTGGTAGTTGTTTAGTTGATCTTTAATAGTGTTGAATTTTGAGATCTTGTTGATTGATTTATGTTGGCTTATTTAATATTTGATTTTTCCTCTTCCTGTATACAAGTTTCATAATTTTGGTTTTACTTTTAATTATAATAAGTTGTGTATAATGTAGATGTCAAGAAGAGAATTGATTTTTAGCAAAATGGTTAGAGATGCTAATCAACTTTTCCATCCAAGTCAGATTTGAAATCCTAGATATTTAAGGTATTAAATTAAAAGTTGATGTAGTATATGGAGAGAATTGTATCTACAATATAAAAAATAAAAATTTAAGGAAGGTTATACAAATTCGGGTCATAAATCGGGTAAGCGAAAATTGACCCAAATATTCGAATACCAAAAAAATCGAGGATCCTAAAAAGTGGTTCGGTTATCAAGTACCCGATTTTTCGAGCAAAACCGATTTAGAGTACTCGAAAAATCAAGTTAAAAAATGGACAAATCTACTGGATCCAATCGATTGTGTGTCGTTCCAATGTCGACAGCCAACAGTGGCAACGATGATGACTGACGATGGTTACTGGCAGGTGACTATTGCTTAGGTAAGTGAGACTATTTTTATTAATTTATAAACTTTTATTAAAAAAAATAATTGTTAAATATTTTAAGTTAAATAGAATAAGATTAAATTTTGAATTAAATAATCAATATTAAAACAAACATATTTTTTACTTTTTTATATTAGAGTTTGAAAAGTTAAAAGACAAGATGTTCGTGCCTATGCTCACGTCTACCTTTTTAATGAATATCCAAATCCGCTCTATTATCCACTCTAAAAAATGGGATGGGATAGCTTTAGGTTATTTTTTTTAATAGAAAACTTTGGATCACTCCATTAGATTAATACACAGTCACACACACACACACACATATATATATATATTAAAAGTAAAACACTATATATAAAGTATTTATTAGAATAGATTAATCAAAATAATATTTTCTAATATGAAACTTATATTGAAAGTTAAATAATTCTACCACAAAAATTATCCAAAAAATTCATAAACAAACAAAATAAAATTAGAATTTTAAAGTCTAAAATTTGCAGGAGTTTAAGTATCAAACACCATACCAACAAACCCTAAACAATTTAATTACATACCGTGTTTTCAGATTCACAAGTGAAGACGCTAATCGAGCAAGTAGACATTGATTGGAAGGTTTCAATGTCTGCCTAAAACAAGATATACAAGAGCCTATCAAAAGCAGCTCGTCACAACTCAGCAGTTGTCAATTTGAAGAGAAATTTTAAATCAGAAAACAGCAAGAAATCTTAGCTTGATCACAACAGTCAGAAAGGGAGAACTCTTAGTTATGTAGCTTGATCACACGTGCTATCCTCTCGAAAAATATCGGACACATGCTCATACTGAACATTAGGACCTCCCTCATCCACTCGGGCGCTACTCTCTCAAATGTTCCGAGAGATACTACACGGTAGAGCAGCTCTGATTCCTTCCCGGCTGCATTTTCTACCCATGTTAGACTGAATGAGTAACCTGTTATGGACACGACAAAACAATAGTGTCAGTTCAACCCCTGTAATGTAATCTCAATGAGTGCATGATTTTTTTGGGTCAAAATTTGACTGAAACACAACTACACAGAAAACCTGCAGAAGACTGAGATTTAGTGTCAAATACAGAAGTATCAATTAAGCATACATTTGTACGTGCATGCATCCCATGACCTACAATTACAAAGATCTGACAACCCATGTAAGCATGAAGCTGGTCTCTCATTAGGAAAGAAAATGTCTCGATATTTTGTCTAATAACTAGAATCCTTTTCCTCCATCTGTATCCTAAAAGCAGATTTGGTTTATTCAAAATAGAATGCATCCCATATTCCATCTCTCGGATTGGATGCTATTAATTAGTACGACACACCATCAAAATATAGCCTTCTGATCAAATATTAGCTGTAAGAGAGCATTCACTTTAGATTTGATGTGAAATTTCAACATTTCTGGAATTCTTCATGATTTTCTAGTGAGTTCTATCTTCCTACTCGTGTATATTTCCTTTAATCCAATTAGATCTTTTACCAATTTGGATAATAAACAAAAATACATAAATCAAATAACATTTAGACATGGTGGAAAAACAATCAAGCAGGAGTGCAATGGAGAAAAAAGAAAAGAAAAAAAACAGACTCAAGTAAATAGAAAGAATTCCAGAATTAAGAATTACCACTTGATTGATGCAGAGCTGAAATGCATATTCCATCAGTTTGAGAAAGTGCAGATACTTTCATGCCGACTAGGTACTCAACGAGAGCTTGAAACAGACAGTTAGGACAACCACTGTCATTTACATCACCTTAAAAAAGACAAAAAGTTAATACAAACAATTCAAGCAATAACATCATGTATTCATGTGTAAGTAAAATTTCTAAAGTCTACCTGATCTGTCAATAGTTCTTTTGCAACATTCTGGCTGGAATTACAATAAAATAGTCAGAGAGGGAACTAATTATTTCAGCGCAAAAGGCATAGGGCTATAAGCATACCAGCCGATCATATACAAAACCTCCACTGGACACAGTTTCTTTTGATAAATCCTTCATTGATTCTCCTGCAATGGCATCATCTTGGCCACTGCAACTAGGCATAACTGTACCTTCTCTCTCAGTCCTAATTTCACTGCTACGCTTTCTTTTCATTCTTTTGGAGGAGCCAGTAGGCAACTTTCCAGATACAGTTTGGGCACCTTTAGGAGTATTCAGCTGCATGTTATCATTTTTGTCATCCTTTGAGCATGAAGAAATTCTCTCTTGATAAAACTTTTGGAGCCTCTCAACTTCTTCAGACAGAGCTTTATCTGCCACAAATTTTGAGATCCTCAACAGTGAACATGATTTGACTACTTGGCCAGAAAGTTGCCAAATAATATTCAAACATATACTACAAATAGTAAGCTTTTGAATACTTTGATCAATCACTTTCGTGCAAATCAGTCACAATACTTAGACATGAACCATAGAAGTATCAAAAAAGGCTTGGGTATCAAGAAAGCCGTTTAGATATGAGTCTCTAAAAATTTAATCTCGAAGGCAAAACCAAATAAAGAGCTCAAACATGTAGCAGCAATTTGAAGTACACATAGAATCCATCCAATACTTTAAAAAAGTGAACACATTCAGTAGTTATTAATTTGAATGTTTTAACCAACATAACTAGCTGGTATCTGTCAGCTACATCTTTTGTATGATTCACATACAAATGCAAGTATAAAAAGTTCCTAAAGCAGAACCTTTTACAGAAATTAATCAACTTGAAATGTCATAGTAAGCAATATCTTATAACAATGATTATCAAAAACCTTGGGCATCACACAAACCTTCTTACACAGAATCAATTCTATTTCATTCATAAGCATGAGATGTTTTCCATATAAATCTAATGTGTCCAGATGGAATGAGACCAGGGTACTCAAGGTGCAAAATTTTGCCACTACATGAAGAGTTAACCAAAGAAATCTATCAAACTAACTCATTTTTTCTTACTCTTTTGGTTCTCTTCCATTAAAAGTTTTTGGTACTCAACAACTTGTTCATTGTTCGTGCACCTGCAATGAAAGTAAATATGTTGCAGAGTTCTGTTATTTAAGCCCCTTTATCAAAACAGAAAAACAATATGAGAGAAGAATAAATGAAGAAGAAGGAACAGCAACAAATAGAACTAAGAAAAAAGAAAGAAGAAAAGAAAGCTTTAGAAGCCATGCCTGATGGTGTCCAATTCAGTTCTCAAGTTGTTAACTTGAGCACGTAGCTGCTCATTATCATTTCTCAAGTATTCTATCAACTCTTCTGCAGCTGCAATGAAATGAATTAAACAGTAAAATACTGAGGAATTTTTAAATTTTGAATTTGATCTATAATTCTAGTGAACAAGGTAAAATAGATATAAAAAAGAAAAACCACTACATTTGAAAAACACTTCATAGGTTTTATACAGAGATGACATGTTATAAAATAGAAAATTTATCTTTTTTTGATTCTTGAAATTAAACGGACCCAAATAATATCCCAGTTTGACCTTAATAGTTCGAATCATATTGGCAGTGACACAAAAAACTTTGTTACAAATTTATTTTCCTTCATCTGCAAAGACTTATACAAGAGGAACAAACACTAAGAGTATGGTCATCATGCTTACAAAGATGACAACAGACAATGAGCTGTTGATAAATGCTTATGGTCGAATCAACACTAATTGAAATATCCAGAAGTTCCATTTTAAGGCAATGGCAATATGCCTTATGATCTAAAAAAAACCTCAAAGATGCAAACATGCTGAAAAAGGATTCTTCATGTCCACCATAAATCAAGCCTCAAGAACAAAAGAGAAGAAAACAAAATTGAACAGGGTTTCTTGTGAAAGCACAGTAACTTCAGATCTTTATATATGTTACAATATCAGTCAACATTTCATTATAAAATTGTCAGCCCAGAAGTGACTGAATTTGACCTAAATTATTCGGATGATAGAACTCACAGCTTGCGTCCAATAATCAAACATATTCGCAAAATAATATAGAAATCAAATCTACGAGCTACATAAAATTTCCATTTCATTTATGGCACTCAGTTCTTGCAATATAACATATCAAGACAACAAAAACTCAATAATTCGGAGAATTGGGTAGATAGGCTGAAGAAATACATACCAGTCACATAATTTACAAACTTCAATTCTTGATCTTTGTTAATTTCTTCAAATTCAGTGAATTTTTTCTTCTGAAAAAGAAAAAAAAAATCAGCTTCTTCTCTCCTCTAATGTAAATCAGCAAGGACTTTCATTTCCTACACTTTTCCTTAATTTCTCGGCGATAATTAACAGAAACACAAAAGATTAAAAGAAAAAGAGAAAAAAAAAAAAATACCTTCAATTTATCGTATTTCTCAAAGAGCTTCGCGTACAAAGACTCCATCTACATCAAATAATGCAAAACAAGCGAATTTTCACACTGAATCAAGTTTTCTGTTGTTTTTCCTTGGGTTTCTCGGCGATCAAACACAGAAATGCAGAAATTGAATTAACAAAAGAAGTCGAAAGAAGAAGTAGTGAAGCGATTACCGGTGTTTGGGAACCGAGAAAGCGCGGGGAAGTGAAATTTCAAATTTCAGAGAAGTGGATCTCCGCTCGCTCTCACGGTTTCGACTTGTGGTTGTGGACTTGTGGTTGCCACTGGGGTTTTTCTCACAAATGACCACTTTTTAAAGCATTATAAAAAATCACCAAAGTTTTGAGAAATCGCAAAACTACCCTTATTGGGGAACCACGGTCCATGGGCCTTTCTTGGGCAGTTAGTGTTACATATGGGCCATGGGCCCCTTGGCCCATAGCCCACTTTCATGTGGCTAATTTCTTCATCAAATAATATATATTACTTTTTTTCCTTAAAAAGAATTGAGAATGTATTTAATAATATATTGGAAAAAAATTTATATAGGAATAAAAAAAATAATTGCTAGAACAGAAACTTAATACTGATCTATACACCAACACAAAACAATCACACCAAAAAACAAGAAACAAGAAACAAAACAGACACACAAACAAGCCATGATTTACCGTGGTTCACTTATCCTTTTATGGATAAGCTACATCAACGTTGAGCTCAAGAACGGTATGAGCTCATTGCACTTCTATTATCAAGAACAATCAAAATTACACAGATTCAACACTCACAAGATCTACCCAAATACAACTGCAATCAGCCTTACAAGATACTCTCTGAATATCTCTTACCCGAGAGAACAACACTCTCACCTGAATGATTAAACACCCTAACCACTCGACTGATTTCACCACAATCTGGAATAATAATCTCAACCCTAACACAGAGAAGTGCAAACCCAGAAAACCCTAAAATATGTTTGTGTTTGTTAATCTGAATGAAAGTGCGTTTATATATGGTTTGACTTCGTGGTTGATCCTAGCTGTTAGTTCTGGAGTGCATCCTGCGGTCTAAAATTGTTCCGGTCATTATGCCTAAAACGACTTCGTATTCTTTTTACTCAAAACGACGCTGTTTCAGGCTTCCACATTTAACAATCTCCACCTTGGAAGCACTGGAAACAGTCTCTTTGTGCAGCTTGCCTGGTACCATTCTGTCATAGCTCTTTATCACTCAAGACTACTTGATATACAGCAAGTTCAAGTAGTGCTTGAACTTGGATGGAGTGATAATTTTGGTGCCCATATCTGCTGGATTCTCTTCTGTGGGTACCTTCTTAAGTTCAATGATTCCACTTGCAACTTGGTCCCTCACGAAGTGATAGCGGACATCCACGTGTTTAGTTCTTTCATGATACACTGGATTTTTGCTTAGGTGGATCGCACTCTGACTATCTGAATACACTATCACCTTTCCACCAATTAGTTTTACTTCTGTCAGAATTCCTTTTAGCCATAAGGCTTCTTTAACTGCATCTGTTACTGCAATGTACTCTGATTTTGTTGAAAACAGTGCTACAATAGGCTGCAACTGTGATTTCCAGCTTATACAATTTCCACCCAGTGTAAAGAAATATGCAGTAGTTGATTTTCTGGTATCCTTATCACCTGCAAAATCAGCATCTACAAAACCAACCAGATCAAGAGTAGTGTTTCTTTTACAGTATTCAAGCCCAACACAAGCAATACTGTTTATATATTTTAGCATCCATTTTAGAGCAGTACAATGTTCCATACCAGGATTGGACATATACCTGCTTAACATGAAAATGGCAAAGGCTAGGTCTGGCCTAGTACTAATCATGGCATACATCAGTGAACCCACAATATTAGCATAAGGGACAGACTCCATTTTCAACAGTTTTGACTTAGTTTTGGGGCATTGGGACTTACTGAGAATAAACTGGCTGGTTAGGGGCATTGAGACCAGTTTGGCACCAGCCATGCCAAACTTTGTGACTAGTTTGAGTAAGTAAGATTGTTGCTGTAGTCTAAGTTCACACCTCTTTCTATCCCTGTTTATTTCCATGCCTAAAATTTTCTAAGTATTTCCTAGGTTTTTCATGCTGAATTCAGTGTTTAGTCTTTTCTTCAATTCACTGATCAGGGTTTTTGACTTACTGATCAGCAACATATCATCAACATATAAGAGCAACTAAATGGGCAGATTATTATCCATTTTAAAATAGAAACAACTGTCATATTGACTTCTAGTGAATCCTATACTATTATAAAGGTGTCAAACCTTTTGTACCATTGCCTAGGGGACTGTTTTAAACCATATAGGGACCTTTTTAGGAGACATGCATGTTCAGGGAACTTAGGGTCAGTAAACCCCATAGGTTGGCTCATATAGATTTTTTTCTTCTAGTGTTCCATGAAGGAATACAATGGTGACATCCAACTGCTCTAATTCTAAGTCTTGATAAGCAACTACAGACAACATCAACCTAATTGTTTTGTATTTTACTATAGGGGAGAAGACTTCATTGAAGTCTATCCCCTCCCTTTGGGTGTAACCCTTAGCCACCATTCTGGCTTTATACCTAGGTGAGTCAGCTATGGAAATGCCCTCTTTAAGCTTGAACAACCACTTACATTGGGTCAGCTTCTGATTACTTGGTTTTGGAACCAATGTCCAAGTTTCATTTACCTTTAAAGATTGCATTTCCTCTTCCATAGTTGTTCTCCATTTGTCCTTATCTTTGGATTCCATGGCCTCTTGATATGTATCAGGTTCAGACCTAAGCACTTCAGTACCTGCAAGCAGAGTAGTGTAAATCAGTTCTGCATATGAGTACCTTGAGGGTGGTTTTACCTCTCTTCTGGTTTTGTCTCTGGCCAGTTGATAATTTGTCAGTTCATTTTGCTGTGGTTCTGGGAACTCTTCTGCTTCCTCATCTTCAGCTTGGTTAGGTTCCTCAGATGCAATTTCAGTTTCAGGCTGCTGGGTAGTTTGTGCTTGTGCTTGGGGTGGGTTTAATTGATGGGTTGTGTGCTCCACCTCAATTTGAGTGGTACTGGTCTGTTTGGTAACTTCTTCTGTGCTTTTGGTTGTACCTTCATCAGGGTTAGTGCCTTTGCATGGGAATACTCCCTTATTAAACACAACATCCTTGCTCACCATGATCCTGACCCCTGATGACTCTCTGTCCTACAGCCTGTATCCCTTTGTGCCCTCAGGATATCCAAGGAACATACACCTAGTTGATCTTGGTTCCAGTTTCCCCCCTACTGTGTGAGCATATGCAGCACAGCCAAATACTCTTAGATGCCCTAGTTCTGGTCTTCTTCCAGACCATCTTTCTTCTGGACTGATTAAACTTATTGTTGTGGAGGGACTCCTATTCACTAAATAGGCAACAGTGGAGAGTGTTTCTCCCCAAAAAGTTTTTGGAAGGTTTGAAGTGATCAAGAGGCACCTGACTTTGTCTAGAAGAGTTCTATTCATCCTCTCAGCCACCCCATTTTGATGAGGGGTATTTCTCACTGTCCTATGCCTTAGGATCCCCTGTTCACTACAAAATTTGTCAAACTCCAGATTACAGAACTCAAGCCCATTGTCAGTCTTAAGGGCCTTTACCTTTCTGCTAGACTGGTTTTCAACAAGGGTTTTCCAATCTCTAAACTTTGCTAGGGTTTGATCTTTTGACCTAAGTAAAAATACCCAGACTTTCCTGTTATAGTCATCTACTATAGAGAGGAAATAACTGTTTCCACCATGAGATTTAACCTTTTCTGGCCCCCATAAATCAGAATGTAGGTAATCCAAACAGTTATTTGCTAAGTGAACTCTCTTAGGAAAACTGTTTCTGTGCTGTTTACCAAGTACACAACTTTCACAGAATTCTAAACTCGTAACAGTATCTTTCCCAAATTGTCCTAGCCTATTTAGTACATCCATCCCCTTTTGACTCATATGGCCTAACCTTAAGTGCCACCTTTCAGTTACTGATAAGTTTGGAGACCCAAGAGTTGTGCTGTTGCAATCAGAATAAAAACTACCACAAAGTACATAAAGATCATTTTTCTTTTCTCCTGTCAACACAAGATTCTCATTTTTATAGACATTCAACCACTCACTGTTTGCCTTATAACAGCAGCATGCTTCATCTAGGGTGCCTAATGATATGAGGTTTCTTTTTAAGTCAGGTATATATCTGACTTTGGTCAACCTTATTAGTTTTCCCCCACTTAACCTAAGGGTTATGCAACCAATCCCCTTAACCCTACATGCTTGGTTGTTCCCCATGTACACAGTCTCATGATTAGAATCCTCAAAGTCTTAGAACCTATTAGGGCTCATATGGAAAGTACAACCTGAATCTAAAACCCATTCTTTTGTAGTGTCAGATATTGACACTATTAGGACTTCTGGTTCATCCATTTGGTTACTAGTGGTGGCTAGGTTGCTTTCTGTGTTACCTAGTTTTTGTTTCTTCTTCCAGTCAAAACAATTTTTCTTTAGGTGACTTGTCTTATTACAGTAGTAACATTTCCTGGTTTCTGTTTTGGCTTTGTTGTTTCCCTTCCACTTTTTCTTGTTCTTACCCCCCTGATTTGGCTGAAATCCTTTACTAGACTGGGCAGGTTCTATTCTACCCTTCACAAACAGATGCTATTGTTCCTCTTAAGAGTTTTAAGCTCTAATTCTCTAGCCTTAAGACCCGCAACTATCAAATCAACACTGGGTACAGTACTGGAGTACTGAAGGGCATTCTTGACTACTTGGTAGTCTTCAGTTAAAGAATTTAATAATATCATGGCAAGACTAGTCTGTCCTAGTTCTTGGTCTATGCCTTTTAAAATTAGATTCATCTTAAGGAATTCATCTAAATTTTCCTCTATGGACTTCGAATTATCCATCTTATAAGAGAATAAGGCTCCCTTTAAGAAAGCCAAATTCGGTGCAGACTGTAAGGCATATAAAGATTATAATTTACCCCATAAACCAAGAGGAGTTTCGAATCCATGTACCTTCCAAAGGACACTGTCCGAAAGATTCATCACGATCAGGTTATAAGCTTCTTCGTCAACCTCTTCCTTCTTCTCCAGTTTCTCCTCTGACCATTTCTTAGGATCCTTTTCCAGTGCAATTGCAACCTTGTTGTGTGAGAGAAGAGCCTTCATCTTTTTCTTCCAGCTCCCGAAATCGATCTTCCCATCGTATTGGGAGATCTCCATATGGGTAGTGCTCATTTTTTTTT